CCACAGTCATGGTCAAATTCTGTATGGATCTTGAATCTTTCACACTCTGTTGAGGTGATGGGAACATGTGCCTGTCCAGGAAGCAACCAACAGTGACCGTGTCTTTCTTTCTCTTTTGTCCATCTTTCTCCATCCCCTCCCCATGTCCATCATYAAGATCACACTCATTTTCCTTCATGGTCTTTGTGGTGTCCCCGGAGCCATTCTCCTCCTCTGAAAAGAATTGGCAACTAAACATTTTTTTAGCTTCACATAAGCAAATGTGAGGGATTTTTTTTACGTATCCTGATATTATCTGAAAGAGAGCAAAATTAAGCTCAAGTGTTTAATTTCACTCCCATTAGATAATTTAGGGACCCGACAGTAAAAGTTTTATCACTATAATGAGTTATAAAGTTGTCAATGAGGGGAGATTACAGACAGATTACATCTGTATCTTAACAAGACTGAAGAGTTTAAGTAACAAGCAAAATGTAACATTTTACATTATGTACACGTCATGTCTAGGGATGCAAACAATCAATTTATAATTAATTGTCAAATAATRGCTTAATCAATTAACTAATAATGCCAGCTGGCACATTTAAATCACTAACCAGAAAGATATACCTTTTTTAAAAACCGTTTCAATTAAGCCTCTTTCACAAGATCGTTCTTTAAAAATGTCCACACAGACCGGTCTGGCTTTAAGCTCTCTCAGGTCATTCATAAATCATAAACCTTTTAATTCTAAATTTGAAGACACTTCGCTTCCCATCCAGGATGGTTTTATTTTGGATTGTGATGTTCACCCTGGTCCAACATTTATATTTTGCCAATATGTCAATCTAATGTAACATTACAGTACTTTTACATGCATACTGTGTCTGAGCAAAGAATGGCATTAGTTAGTGCTCTGAAATGTCCTCTCCTTACATTTGCTTGATTTTCATTATAGTTTTTACTCTTAGGACACAGACTAATTACTGGTGAGTTTTAAGTGTACTTAAAATCAGGTTCACCTATTTTTAAACAWAAGCAGGTCCATTTGTATGAGCTCCATGTGTAATATGATTWGCAAAATTTTCAGTGAATCACATCAGTGGTGTTTTTATGATTACTGTGCAGCCATTTAAAAAAACAGCATATTTATGGAATGACACAGCTAAATAATCTTACACCACGCTGAGAGCACACTTACGGTTTTGAGTAGATGGGTCACTCTCAGCCAGGGCACTTCTTATT